GTCCCCGAGGAGGAGGCGGCGGGCTTGAGCGGTGACGGCCTGAGGGCGAGGTCGGAGCTTCTCTTTCTCCCCCCACGCGGCTCTGTACCGCCCTGGGGCATCCTGGGGAAACCTGGCGCTCCGCCTGCAAGCGCTGTGGGAATCGGTCTGCTGGTCGTTATAGGCCTGGTGCCGTCTGGGAAGGCTTGTCCTGGCTACTCGGGGAACAGGTTGCCTTTGTCACACGCCTTCCACCGTTGAACATCCTGGACGCTTGAATTTCTTCGACGCAGGGCGTTTGGGAAGGTGGTCACTATAGGCCCAAGGCATCCTGGGAAGAACTGCCGCAAGGAATGGTGGGAACGGGCCCCTATTGTCTCTTCGTATGAGGGTCGGCTCTGGCCTTACTGTCTTAGCGTCATGGGAACAGGTGCCTGTTGTGTCCATGCAGGGCGTGTTGGGAATTGGCTGCTATATAGGCTCACGGCGTCATGGGGCCTTGGGCGCTGTTTGCCTTACGCCATGGGGAGCTTCATTTGCGCCTCTCACTTCCAGGTTGACGCCATAGGTGTTGTAGGAGTGGGACTTGTGCGGCAAGGGATGACTCCAGTGACGCCCGGCGTACTCTGGAAGGGACCTTGTGTGATGTGGGCTTGGGAAGGGGTAGATCGGTGGGCGTTGTCTTGGGATAACCTCGTGGGAAGTCCTGAGTGCCGTTGGTGTATGGTTGTCGGATAAAGCATGGCGTTCCGGCCTGGCATAGTGCTTCGGGAGGCCGAGGTGGGAGGATCGCTTGAGGCCAAGATTTCGAGACTAGTTTGGGCAACATAAAGAGATCCCCATCTCTACAAGAAATGAAAAATAAAAGAATGAGCCTGGCGTTGGTAGCTCAGGCCTGTAGTCCCAGCCTCCCAGGAGAGGCTGAGGTGGAGGATCCCTTGAGCCCAGGAGTTCGAGGCTGCAGTGAGCTACGATTATGCCACTGCACTACAGTCTGGGTGACAGAGTGAAACCCTGTCTCTAAATAAAAAAATAGAATGCCTAGTTAAATAACTTCAGGCCGGGTGTGGTGGCTCATACTTGTAATCTCAGCACTTTAGGAGGCAGAGGAAAGAGGATTGCCTGAGTCTAGGCATTTGAGACCAGACTGGGAAACTTGGCGAGACCTCATCTCTGCAATTAAAAAAAAAATTGACCAGGCGAGGTGGTGCATTCCTGCAGTTCTGGCTACTTGGAAGGCTAGGGCAGAAAGATCACCTGAGTCCACCAGGTTGATGCTATGGTGAGCATGCCACTGCTCTCCAGCCTGGGTGACTGAGACTTCGACTCAAAGACAAATAAAAAATTGAAAAAATCTTGCCACCTTTGGGAGGCTGAGGTGAGTGGATTGTCTGCGCCCGCGGGTTCAAGACCCGCCTGGGCAACTTGGCGAGACCTCATCTCTACAATAAATCAAAAAATTAGCCGGGCGTGGTAGTGCGCACCTGT